GTGTGTGTGTGTGTGTGGAGAGAGAGAGAGAGAGAGAGAGAGAGAGAGAGACAGGGACAGGTTGTTAGCACGCTGCCGGCCATCAACATAATTAACCCCCCTAAGTGGAGACGCCTGTGTATCATTATTAGTACATGCGCGGCGGATGTTACAGGGTTCGAATGTGCTTACGAGAATTTAGGACCGCGTCAGGTGTCCTGATTTGGCTAATGCGAAATATCCAATTAACCGGTAATGGAGCCTTTATCGCATCCGGTGGCATCGGTCCCGCGGAATTTCAACCCCGCCGCGGCCCAACTTTGCGCGAGATCCACGCGAATTCGAGGCGCAGGAAAATATGTTGCAGCCATATACGTTTCTGTAATCCGTCCCGATAATCCGAGCTCGAAGATTTCGTGGTATATCCATTTTAGAGATAGAGATACCACCAAGCTTCGCGTGTAATTCGCGCCTGTATTCGGGAACTTTTCGTTCCGCGATACGGAGATCGGGATGGAAATAGCGAAGATACTTTTGCGCTTTATCGATTTACCCTTTCTATAAATTCGACGATATGATTATTGAGCATATGGCACTTTAAACGATAAAATAAACTGCTAACGCGTTCGAAATTGATTCGAACTTCGCAAATATACCGCTCTACCACCGCAAGAAAGAAACGTGTATAATCGTGTATACAATCACGCGATGAAACACGATTACACCGAGTAACATCACGCGTTGGAGGAAACGAGGAAACGCGCACCACCCTCCATCATGTCCCTCTATTATCACCCCAATCACAAGTCCTCGGAACATTACCATCCGCCCCATCCACCTATCATCTCGATCCCATCGAACCTCCATTACCTTCCCATTTGTCACTACCGCCTTAATCAACCGCCTCTCGTCGTGTCGTGCTCTCGTCGTGTCCCCGACCTCGTCATCCTCCTTCTCTCTCTTCTTTTTTTCTCTTTTTTTTTCCAGTTCGCAACGGCTACTCGTGCGTACCTGTTGCTCTGTCCGAGGGCCTGGACATCCGGCTGAACACGGCTGCAAGGGCGGTCCGCTACGGGGTGAACGGGGTGGAGGTGTGGGCCGCACCCTCGCGCAGCCCCCACACAAATCACACGGTGTACAAGGCGGACGCGGTGCTGGTCACCCTCCCCCTCGGAGTGCTCAAGGCGTCCGCGCCGCCGTCCGCGGTCGCCTTCAATCCTCCGCTTCCGGACTGGAAGTCGCAGGCTATTCAGAGGCTCGGTTTCGGCAATTTAAATAAGGTAAGACCTCCCTCCCCAAGACCAACCTCTCTGATTTATGCCGACGATCGAACTTGTCGGGGGCCGGGCCCCCAATGAGATATATTGTGATCGGGCGGCGCTCTTTCGTCGCGAGCGGAACGGTGACGTGGCTCGTGTCGCTTCTTACGCCGGGGACACGTTCCTTTTACGGGGCCTCCCGTGCTCGGTTTACGAGGGACCCCTTCCTCCTCCACTGGAAGGAATTAAAGGCTCATCGCGGCGGCGAGACGGATCCCGCCGATCGATAAACCCCGGCCGAATAAATTCGCCGCGATTTCGCCTCGGTGGGGTAATTTACGGAATCGGTGCCGCGATGCATGTGGGAGAGAATGCCGGGATCTTGCGGTTTAAAGGGGTCTCGGGGGTACGGAGAGGTCGTCGTTTCGGCCAACGTTAAATTGGACGTGGGTTTTTGGGTGCCTCGCCGCGTGTCACAGGCCTCGTTCGATGCGCTGTGACGGGGTATAACATGTTGTATTCCGTACGGTGTCGATGTATATTCGTGGGACGATTGGTTTCGAAATAGACGCGAGCATTCTTCCGTTTCTTCGTGGATTCCACGAGTTTTATTTGTATATCCGCGTCGTATCGATTTATGGACAGCTTTCTTAGCGAGAAATTTGTACCGTTACCGAAATGTCACGAAGATTGAGAGATGTTAAAGACGCGCTTATCGTCGCACGATAATGTGAGCATACGAGGAAATGTACGAAGAATGATAGATACTTGAGATCTCGAGGATTCGTTGCCCTTTTTTTTCTCGAATTCGTGACGCGAAGTCAATTGGGTTGAAATTTGGGAATCTCCTTTTGGGGGGGATACGCGGGCTCTGAATTTTGTAATTCTCTTAAACGAGCACTCTGCAAAGAGAATGATTCATGGGGACGAGGGAACTGAGATAAACGTTTACGTGAGCAACCCTTAAACCGCAGGATTTGCCGGAACCAACGGGTATATAATATTTTCTCCAAACAAGCTTACGAGCATCCACTGCAATCTCCCTAACGTTTCGCGTTGTAGAACAGAAAATTATATCCTGTATATAATTGAAAATCCGGGTCTTCACATTTTCCCCCGAATTAAAATTCTTGAAATCCATCTTTTCGCGTCCAAGTATCCCAATAGATTCTCGTAGAAAATTTCCCTCCTCCAAAATGGAAACTCTCGTCCAGCGAAAACTCGACCAAACGGATGGCTCGTTGGTTGGTCGGCGCGCCTCGGTCGAGAGATAATCGGTGGACGAGGGGCCGGCTAGAGGGCAAGGAAGTAATTCCCTGGAATCCGTCACGTCAGGTGGTGCTGTGCTTCGAACGGATCTTCTGGGATCCGACCGCCAATTTGTTTGGCCACGTGGGGAGCACAACCGCGTCGCGTGGCGAGCTCTTCCTCTTCTGGAACCTTTACAAGGCGCCGGTGTTATTGGCTCTGGTCGCTGGAGAGGCTGCCTGCGTCATGGAGAATGTCAGCGACGACGTGATCGTTGGACGTTGCATAGCCGTCTTGAAGGTAAATTTTCATCCAATTTATCGATCGTTATCTTCCTCTCATTTTCTTCGATACGCAAAAAAATTTTTTCTTTTAAAAAAAGTGAACGAAACGTTTATCGATTTGATTAGATTATCGATCGATCGTGGAACGGCCGTTGAGAAAAGCCGTTGATCGTTCGTCCCGATCCGTGTCGCGCGGGATTGTTCGGCAAATAACGCATGGTTGTTTTTTCTGAAGGGTATCTTTGGAAATCAAGTGGTCCCACAGCCGCGCGAGAGCGTAGTGACGAGATGGCGAGCGGATCCATGGGCGAGAGGCTCGTACAGCTTCGTCGCGGTCGGCAGTTCCGGTAGCGATTACGATCTTCTGGCCGCCCCTGTCGCACCTCCTGCCACACCTGGCGCACCGCCACCGCAACCCAGGGTTTTCTTCGCAGGTAAATATTTAGCGTTATCCGCGATATTTTCACTGGCCATCTCCTTTTTCGCTCGCTTCTTCGGAGAAGAAACGAAGTGGACTTTGGAGTCTGCCCGCCGATAAAGAGAGCGCAATTCCCGCCGTGAATCGTATCTTTTTGAGGCGGGTCGAGGCTGTGCTTTTCTCTCCTCCATGCCTTTCATCCTCGATAGAGTGCCCTTTTGAAATTGGATTTCATGGTTTCTTTGGATGGATTTAAGACGAGTTATTTTCGACGAAACGAATCTAAAATCGATCTAAAATCGTCTCCTTTCTTAATTATTTACGTGAATTTTCCAATGCTCTGAATCTTTGTATCCGGCCGCAAAGATCGCGATTTTTTTACGTTACGTTTAGCATTCAGAATAAGGAGAAGTAGCGCATCGCAAAAGCTTACTCCAGAAACTCTAGAAAAATCATACGTAGAGTACATTTTCCAAAGCATCTCTTTCACCAACCTCTCGACCCCCTTTAACAACCTTGTCAAAACAAAATTGCCTTTCCATTTATATTCTCGCTTGTGCTCCTTGCTCCTCCCCTCGAAATCGACCAAGGTCGCCATCTTCAAAGAGCCGACCTGAACAGAAGAAAGGCGAGGAGGGGAAGGAGAGGGGAGTGTCTTTCGCTCAAAGGGGTAACCTCATTTTTTCTTTCCCCCCTCCCCCCCTCTCTTTCTTTTCGTTTGTTTAACGCGGTCTCGCGGACCGATCTTGTGCTTTCAGGAGAGCACACCATAAGAAATTACCCTGCGACCGTGCACGGCGCATTTCTCAGCGGGCTCCGCGAGGGTGGACGAATCGCGGATCAACTCTGCGGAAGCCCTTACGCGCCGCCGACGATGCCCGCTTCCGGTCCACCGCCCACGGCCATCCCATCCGCGACCACCGGATCGACGACCACGCCTTAGCGAATTCCTGCCGCGGAGTTCTTGGCCTTCGATCGATAAAGAAAGAAAAGAAAAGGGGAAAAAAAAAAAGGAAAAAGCGTTACAATATCATCATACGATTCGATCGGTCATCATCGTCATTCTATTATTAATCTCGCTTGGACGACAGAAGAAAGAAGAAAAATAGGAAAGCGCTGGAACGGTGGCTGGAATTTTTCGTCTTCGAAAATTAAGAGGATCGTTTATTATATATATATATATATATATATATATATATATATATATATATATATATATATAT